ATATCGTACAATACTGCTGCTGCGCTGTACGTACCCTGCTGCCGCATGTTCGACGAGCGAGTTGCTTTTTAAAAAAAGGCAGCAGGAACTTACAGTAGTGTAGTCTATGTACAGCGCATGTTTTAGACTTGTGCTCTTCCCCGTTGCTTTCTACATATACACCAGAAGAACCCTCATCACGCATACCTGCCGTGGGCGGCTGCATCTACACATCAACACTCACCGCCGAAGAAAGCGTTGACTTCCAGCGAAGGGCGGAGTAGCTCGACAAGCTTGTGGAAACTGCCTTTCTCCATGCGGTACGACCGCCGCCACCCGTGCCGTTTATCGAGGTCCGCCTCGTGTTGAGCCCACGGAAGACGCTTGGGCTCGTAGATGGGCTCCCGTTCCTGAGGGCAGTGGGCACGATGAGCCTCTCCTGCTGCCACGACGCCCGCCGCCACTACTACGGCCCTCACAAGACCCAAGACTGTGAATCTCTTGTCATGGGCTACATCCTCCTCGTCGATAGCTCGCCGACGGCGCTTCTCCCGGCGTTGCGCTGCGATCCCCCTGGGATCTTGACGCTTCCCACGCTCAGGCATGGTAGTGGAGTTGCCTTGGGAAGCACTTTGGGGTGTTGTTGGTGCTGTCTAGGTGTGGTGTGATGAAGACAGCACGCGTGACCGGTGTCTGCTCCGGTAGTCGCAAAAAAACGGGAAATTTTTCACCGAAACGTAAAAGGAGCGAGCCCAGAAAAAATACGCTTCGCTCTTTTTACGGAAACGTAGAGGAACGCCTCCATATATTTCAAGAAAATACGGTTTCGTAACCAAATACGTATTTTTTTGGCCTGATAAGACACACCCTAANGCGTGTTCGTGAGGTGGTACGTTCAGCGGAGCTGTGCGTTCGGCTTCTGCTAAAAGCCTGGCGTACGTGCGGGTTACTCTGAGCGCAAACTCGTCAACGGATTCGCTACTCTTTGCTCCCAATGTCATGACATCACGTGCAAGAAGAGCGATTCTGTTGGCAGGGGCGAACGAACGAGTGAAAGCGGAAACCCACTCTTTCCATGTTTTCGGAGGTGTGATTCGGATTGCTTCTCCACGCGCACGCAACGCATGCAGCTGGGCTGGTGGTCGCCATGCGAGTGATGAGCTAAGCATGAGGCTGAGGCTTTGAGCTGCAGTACCTCGTACGAACAGTGGGAGGTGTCTGATTGCACGGTGATCGATTGTGCTTTGAGAGACGTTGTCGGCGGACAATGGCCCGATGTGTGCTCTGTTGTTGTTGTGTTGTTGTCTTCACATTAAATACCATCCCGGTCTCTCTATCCAGCACCTCCTTCTGTCTCAATCTCTCCGTACTAATCCATCACTTGACTCGGCCAATTTCCGTGGTCACAGGCTAACGTACCTAGAAAGGTATACCAAAATAAAATGGACCCCAAGGGTCAGCAGAGCGATAAAATANGGCCCGATGTGTGCTCTGTTGTTGTTGTGTTGTTGTCTTCACATTAAATACCATCCCGGTCTCTCTATCCAGCACCTCCTTCTGTCTCAATCTCTCCGTACTAA